AGGTTAAAAACTGGCAAGAAAGCAATCTATTTAAGCAAAGTATTTATTTATATTACCTAACTGGGTAGTATATAGCCAAAAGATACTTTAATGTTCTTTCAATGAAAAAAATGGATCATGTGAGTAAAGGTGGTGGTCCAGTGGTAGGGCCTGTGCCAACAGGCCCAAGGCAAAAATCATATAGCTCTTTTCCGGTCCACTTTAGTGAGATGTATCACTAAACCACCCAACATTCAAGACAAATAAGGTCTACAAATGCAGGTTTCCTACTCAAATTCTTTAGAAATGTTTTTTCTTTCCAATTTTCTTTTCTCTAGGATTTCATTTTCTCTCTCATCACTGACATCCAAGAAGTCCCAGTTTTCTTCCAACTTTTGCATATGTACTTCTCTGTAGGTTAAAATTCATGAGCTTGTTCTGACAACTGAGTTTAAGCTTACCTTTCATTAAAGTCTCACCAGATAGTCTCCAAGCATAAGCTATGTAACTGACTGACTCTGAAAAGCCACACATACCCTACACAGTTTTTAATTGGAACCAAGTTGTTGACATACATAAAGATATGTATAGATTATTTATCAGGCATATTTTATAGTTATCATTTACTAGTAAGGGCAGCTTTCCCATAATACACATCCCTGAATCTCTAAATACCAGCTTTCTGGTAATGCATTTTCTCAGCAAACTTTGCACCCAATTCATTTGCAAGCCAAAAACTTAAAACAAAACAAAACAAAACAATAACAACAAAAAAAGCATTTCATCAAAGTAGCAGGAAAAAAATGCAAGTTCTTGCTATGGAAAGGGAAGGTTGAAGCTCAGTGCCCAGCAGTTTTACTTGCCCTGATTGGCACACTGATCAGTACAAATGTCACCTGAGGTGGAAACTGTGAAAACCACACCACACCACACTTTACCAGATCTGCAGTGCTGCAGGGAACAGGAACAGACAAGGAATGATGATTGCATTTGTGCGTGTGAGTGTGTGTGTGTGTGTGTGAGAGAGTGTGTGTGAGTGTGTGTACATGTATACAAGGAGGTCAGAATGCATGTGTGTGAGAGAGAGAGTGTGTATGTGTGTGTGTGTACATATATACAAGGAGGCCAGTGTGTGTGTGTGTGTGTGTGTGTGTGTGTATGTGTGAAAGAGAGAATGTGTGTGTGTGTGTACATATATACAAGGAGGCCATAGTGTGTGTGAGTGTGTGTGTGTTTGTACATATATACAAGAAGGCCAGAGTGTATGTGTGCATGTGCATGTGTGTATATGTGTGTGTGTGTGTGTACTTATATACAAGGAGGCCAGTGTGTGTGTGTGTGTGTGTGTGTGTGTGTGTGTGTGTGTGTGAACTTATATACAAGGAGGCCAGAATGTGTGTGTGTGTGTGTTCTTATATACAAGGAGGCCAGAGTGTGTGTGTGTGTGTGTGTGTGTGTGTGTGTGTGTATACTTATATACAAGGAGGCCAGAGTGTGTGTGTGTGTGTGTATGTGTGTGTATGTGTGTGTACTTATATACAAGAAGGCCAGAGTGTATGTGTGCATGTGTGCACATGTGTGTGTGTGTGTGTGTGTGTGTACTTATACACAAGGAGGCCAGAGTGTGTTTGGGGTGGTGGTGCATACACATATACATGGAGGCTAGAGGAGGATGTCAAGTGTCCTCCTCTATAGTTCTGTCTTATTCCCTTGAGAAGATCTCCCACTGAGACAGGCTGGCAGTCAACAAGCCTCAGTCATCCTCCTGTCTGTCCATACAGCGCTGATGTTACAGGTGCACATACAAGCACATCTAGCTTTTTATCTATGTGTTGGCATCTGAACTCAGGACTTGGTTATGCAGCAAGTGCTCTTACCTACCAAGCCATCTCTCCAACCACCAATTTCTTTGTGCATGCCCCCTCACACATACAGCATATCAGAACTTGCTGCCAAGCCTGATGACCTGAGCTCGTCTCTGGAACTCACACGGTGGAAGGAGAGAACCGACTCCCACAAGTTCTCCTCTGGCTTCCACAGCACATGGTGGGAAGTCAAACTTGTAAACACACACACTAAACAATTTTTATAAAACCAAAATTTGATTAGCAAAAGGCCGTTGGCTTCATTTGCTTAGAGAAGAGGCGGCACACGTGATGGCCGTTCTTGCCCAGCAGACTGGGGAAAACACCACACTCCAGACTGCATGGGGTGAAGCAGCGTGCCATCTAATGCCACGGACATCCCATGATCCCTTAGTAGCAGGATTCTGTACTGACAGCCAGTAGCAACAGAGTCAGCTGCCAAGTCAGTGCATAAAGAAACTGGACCCTGCTAGAAATGCCTACCATTACCCAGGGCCACACCACCATGTAGCAGGAATCTTAAAGAGTCTTATTAATAAAATCAAACCTGTGGCCAGTTATTGGGGTGAATGCTGGAAGGTCAGAGAAGCAGAACAAGCCACAGCTACCTCACTTGCCAACTTCTCAGCCGGTCCTGTTTCCTCAGACTGGATGCCTCTGAGTCCTCATCCAGAATGAATCTCAGCTGAACTGCTGCTCGAAAGCCTGCAAGCTTAACCAGCCAAATGCTTCTAGTTTCCGGTCTTCACCCTTTATATACCTTTCTGCCTTCTACCACACTCCCTGGGATTAAAGGCTCGCTTTCTGGGATTAAAGGCGTGAGTCACCATGCTTGGCTGTATCCTTGAACAGATGGATTTCTGCCTCTGGAATGCTAGGATTAAAGGCGTGTGCTACCACTGCCTATCCTAAGTATCTAGTGGCTTTTCTGTTCTCTGACCTCAGATAAGTTTATTAGGGTACACAATATTTTGGGGAAACACAATACCACCACACCACCCTGAAGGTCCCGTCTCACTGAGAACACTTAGCATCTCAATGACTGCTCTCTTAGGAAGTATTAGTACAAGTAGTAACTGTACACATGTGTGGGTGTATGTTCATGTGGGTATACATGCATGTGTGTGCATATGAGTGTGGAGGCCGGAGGTCAACTCCAGCTGTTGTTCCTCAGGCACGATCTTCCTTGTTTCTTGAGACAAGGTCTTTCCTTGGCTTTTAGTTTGCCAAGTAGACTAGGCTAGCTCCTGGGATCCAGCCATCTCCATCTTTTTTATTGACTGATTGACCACTTTGTTTTATTTGAGACATGGTCTCACTATGTAGACTAGACTGGTGTGGAACTCACCAAGATCCTCCTGCTTCTGCTTCCCAAGTACTTGGATTAAAGGTATGGGTCATCAAGCCTGGTAATTCAACTGTTTTGACACTGGGCCTCACATTGTAGCCCAGGCTGGCCTTGAACTCATAGCTAGCCACCTGCCTCAGCCTCTCTGGTACTGGGTTTGTAGAAATAATCCAAGACTTCTGGCAGGAAAAGTAAGTTTAAAGAATTGCATATAAAATTATAAAAATGAGATTCCTTCACATAACATCCAACAGCAAGCTTAAAGGGGGTTGAGGGGATTAAAATGTGGCTTTCCTAATGCATGGCTATTTCTCTGTTTGGTCGCTCTTAAAAATAATTTATGTAAAACAGCCTTCTCTCTAAATATACTGTGTGTTCCCATACATGCATTGAAAATATTTGCATACAGTGTGTGTATGCCCTGGTACACACATGGTAAAAATTTTAAAAATATGGACTGCATAAATCAGTAGCTGATTTTAAATATACATCAACTTAAACAGATTTGTTTGCAATTTATGAATTCCTCAGGTATAAAAGATCTTTCTTACTGGCGGTGCTTCTAGAAGATGTTTATACTCTGCGGAGTGTACAAAAATGCCTCTCACACAAACAAAGAAAGGAAAGATTCAAGAGCTCGGCATTCTAACCCTGCCTTCGCTATTAAAATCCACCATGAATGCGGCAGAGACTGGCCGAGACCAGGGAGGTTCGCTTGTCATGCTACAGTAGACATGATATTTTGTGTGCTGCCCAAGACATTTTCCTCATGAATATAAGTCGCCTGCCATTTATTATGAGATTTTTCTCCGATTGACACCCCATTATGTATATTCAGTCAAGCTCGAAAGAGATTTCGGTGATCAATACACTATTTGTGTTGAAAGTCTATTATTGGCTCTAGCAATGAGTTGCAGAGAAGCAAAAATGGATGTGGTATTAAGTGAACTGAATGATACAGAAATTTGTGTTTTAGATGAGGAGGCAGACACAGGATGGCATAAAAACAAGAGAACGTAAGAGAAATGTCTTTTCTATTAAAAACCAGCTTTTCCAAGCCCATCCACTGACAGAATGCATTAAATGCCTGATAATTTTTTTAAAATATCTTAAATTACATATCATGGTGTGTGAAGCAGTGGGGAGACGTGTCTCTCCTAGCACCAATCCCTTCACGGTACAGACGATCGCTCTTGCTTAAAGAGTCACATTTGGAAGCACTTGATACCCTAAGGTGAAGAAGGCAGGTCCAGTCCTGGGGAAATCTGTAAACTCTTGCACCATGCAGTCTCTTTGTTGGGTACTTCAATACATTTCATTTTCTAACCTACTAGTACAGTACCCCAACAGCACAGCCTTCATCGGCTGGGAGCTGGCGTTTTGGTTAGTATATGTGGTTAAGTTGCTAACCACAGAATTTCATCTGACCTCAAAGAATTCAGCTACTGAATCTGGAGGTAACTACATATTAGGAGCCATCTGCTTGAGCTAAGATATTAAAACATACAAGGATACCCAGAAAGAAAAAGTCATCAGGGAAATATCAATTCGGCATTACCCAGATACCAAAGCTTCACGTCCTCTTACAGTGTAGCAAGGAAGAGCGCAAAAGGAAGGCAGTAAAAGGTCACAGTGACCTAGGCAGTCATAGACAGTCATGTGGCTGGGTTGTATGTAATGTCCCTGTGTTACAAGTCCCCCGAGCCATGGTCTCCAGCCCTCTTCCTGAATCTTGGGTAGACAGACTGGAAAATCAGTATAGATCTCTAAAACTATCGATATTTAATTATTTGGTTTGTTGAACTTACAGTTTGAACTACTCTCGGGCAGAAGGGCAGCAGCTGGACGAGTCAGAACACCTGCAAGAGCAAGACAGCCAGAGCGTTAGCAGTTAGGGTTGTCTGCAGAGTCTTCGAGCGCCAAAGAAGAGTCGCAGTTGTTTGACCAACACAGGTGAGTTCTAAGCTGCATCCGCTGCAACGCTACTCATCACGGCATTTTGACTCTAAATACCTAGAACTGGATTGCTTTCAAATTAGCAACCCAAAAAATGACACATTGAGACACTGAAAAAAAAAAAAGGTGGAGGGAGAGTGTCTGCCTTGCTTATAGGAATACCAATATCCATTCATCGCTTGTCTTGATGGTCCGGAGATAGCCCACCTAGACCTAATCAGAATCTAATATCCACAGGAAAGACACAAATAAAAATGCTCCTGACAACCTCAGAGTCTCCTCAAAATGAAAATCAAGTAATCTTGAGCAGCAAATTCAGTCTGTGTGGGATGTGTGTGCATGCGGCAGAATCTGCATGCAAAGCGCATTCTTGAATCCTGCAGGAATGTCTGTGCAAGTATTTAATACCACTTAAAATGAAAAGGGTTGCAACTCCAAATGTTGGGGCAGGGGACTGCTTGCTGGCTTGGGGCTTTTGTGTTTTGAGACAAGTTTTGGCCTTGAACATGGATCCTCTTTCTTTAGCCTTTCAAGAGTGCTGGAATCATAAGCATGTACCACCACACCCAGTTTCCAGTTTTTAAAAAGCTACTTTTCACTCTCTCAAACACCACACACACACACACACACACACACACACACACACACACGCACGCACACACGCACGCACACGCACACACACAGAGAATAAAAATGTATCAATTTTAAAATACACAAAAACTAATGATATTACAAATTAAAATTTCTTGAAATAAGTTGATTTGCAAACTGGGTTTTCAACAAATTCCTTATAAACCACAAGTGTGATGTGACATGCTCAGATGAAACAGAGAGGTTCTCAGAGGCTGGCTCCACATCAGACATCAGATACCCCACCCCACCCCTGGCTTTGTCCTTCAACCCTCTCCAGTGCCTGAAAAAGCTGTGTTCATTAACAAAAGTGCTCCTGGGGTGAAAAATGAGCATAGTTGGCATGCTTTAGTAGTTCAGGTGTTAATTCAGTCAGATCACTAGCTTCACTGGGATGTTCTGGAACGTTCCTCACACGGTGCTGTGTATATATTTACTGTGGGAACTCAAGGCAATAATATTCTGGAACCTTCTCACACTGCAATCAATAGCAAGCAGACAGTGCCAACTCCCTCAGATAGTCGCTGGATGTCTTAGGAAAAGACCCTTTGAAGCATGGCTGCCAAGGCACTAGCATCCAAGCAGAACGCTAAAGCCATCCTGCCAATCTGAGTCCCGAAGCTACTGAAGTCGGTCTTGATTTTAGAGTGACCTGCAATCACAGGCAATTTACCTGACTGTTTGTTCTGTGACTCAACGCCTTCAAGGTGCTGGGATTTGTAGGTATGTTTTGTAGATTTAAGAGAGGGGAAGATAATGTAAGGGGGGAAAGGTGTTTGTGTTGGGGGAACAGAAGGAGCTTCATCAGCTTTGAACTTGAATTATCAGTTTAAAAAGGAACATGCAATTTTCACTCAGAGTAATGGCTGAGGTAAGTGCTAACAGGTCCAGCAAGATCTGGAAATGTGCTCACTCATGCTAGTGATCAGGTGAGAAGTATCTTTTTTCCTCTTAAAATAATGTATTTACCTTAAGAACGGATGGTAACCAAGTAGGCATCTTTTAGGGGGAAAAAAATAAGAAAAGTAAAAAAGCTTTGGTCTTCCCTTCCTCTTGGTCAGCCCTGCTGTCTGCGGGAGACGATGTGCAACGGTGGTAATGGGAATTAGGAGTTAGGAATTCATAATGCCTTTTTCTTCAAAGAGCTTACAACACTTTCTTTCCTATAGATTTGAAATCTTGTCTTGCAGAGGTGGTCTTCCTCTAGTCAGGTGGCCTGGCTTGACCTGGTTCTGCTTGGTGGACCCTGCAGTAAAGGGTTAGTCCATTCATTTATTTCCTCCTCCTGCCCTCATGAAGACACCAGGTTCTTGGGTATCCCACATGCTGGCTTATTCCATATATTACCTGAAAACCTCATAAAAAAATAAAATAAAATAAAATAAATAACAACTCCGAAACCTTATCTTCGTAAAGAAATTTCACCAGGAGACCCAAAGCCTTCGCCGCTGGTTCTCCCCAGGTCTGTCAGCCTCCCAGACCTTAAAGTTTGGAAGCAGTTCTCATTCTGTATCTTTCCATCAAAATCAGCCTCTCAAAGTTATTATCAATGCTTTGCCAAGCTGACAGGTGAAATGGAGAAATGTCAGGCTTTGAAGCCCTGCACATGAGTTGAAGTCTACCCCCTAGAATATCAGTGAGCATGCAGTGTAGGCAACACCCAAGCTTGACACTGCCTCGCCCTGAACCACTGCAATTGCAGGGCTCCTTCCCTGGCTTCATGCAGAGGCTCAGAAACAGGGTGGGGCTCCCTGGCCTTGCAATGGCAAAGAGAATCTTTGCTATTAAGAAAACTGAATTGTTCACATTCCAGTTTTCCAATATTTTCCACAAATACTTTGGACATAATCATGTGGTTAGGGGTGCCACTGTTTCTAATATTATGATGGAGATGAAAACCTTTGTGTCAATTTAATGAGATGTGTGCACCAGCATAGATGGCGGGTATTGAAATGAAGGGGGTGAATCTAAAAACCCAGGAGACAGTCTCCCAGAGGAGAGCTATGAGGAGACTGGGTTCTCTGATAAGGCTTATCATATATTTTTAAAATCACAAGTATGGTTAAGGTCTAGAAGTAAAATCTAACTGTGCTGGCTTCCTTATGAGTCAGCAGACCTCTGAACCCTTCAGCCAGTGCAGCTAGAGTCAATGGCCAAGAGCTGTCTTTGGACACACCCATTTTCCCAACCCTGTCTCTCTCTCTCTCTCTCTCTCTCTCTCTCTCTCTCTCTCTCTCTCTCTCTCTCTCTCTCTCTCTCTCCTTCCCTCCCTCTTTCTCTCAATATCATCTCTATGCTTCTTGGTGTCTTAACTCAGAGCTTGCATCCCAAACTGCACCCTGCCACCTCCACCAAGCCAGAATCCGGCTCCAGAGTGGAAGGGCTAGCCTTCATCTCTTTCCTGAGTACAGCTGGATTAGGGCCTATTTCTTCCTTCATGGGCAACTCCTACTTCATTTTCTCTCCAGTCTGCATGTTATCAGCTTGACATTCCCTTCAGTGGCATATGACAAATTAAATTGGCCATCACTGTACTCATCAAAGGAGGTTGTCTTCTATTCTCCAGAACTGCTTTCTCCAGTCCTGTTCACACACACACTCACACACACACACACCTTGGTATTTATTTATTTCTATTTTTTAGGGTTTTGTTTGAAGGGGAGAGGGTTGTAAAAATAATATATAGCTGAAACTCTCTACGAAGAAAGAAAAGCAACCCAGAGCCATAAAACCAAAGGTACAGTCGCAAAATAGGATACCTGTTCTACCTTGCATTTAAAACAAAAACTTTACCCAAAAAATGCAATTAAATGATTTTTCACATCTTTCCTCGTAATTCGACACTTTAACACGTATTTTCTGCCCCAAAATCATAAAGTAAAAATAATATTTTTAGGTACCTTCAAGTCTCACACCTCCTTGGCAGAATCACCTGCAGTACAGAGGGTAGATCAGAAACCGAGGGGCTTGGCTGGTTAGCACCGCAACATCTACAGCCACTGTTTCCCTCTCTCCAAAAGCATTTCAAGTGGCTTTTGGAGACAGAGTGACCGGAGGCAGAGGCTTCGCCCTATCTGGGGCTGATTCTCACTAGGGCCCCCGCCCCCCACATTCAGACTCTCTGGCAGTACCCAACCCGCGCCAGCCAGCTGCAGCTACCGGCTCCCACCTGAGTGTCTTTTCAACCTTTGTCAAGTATCTCAAGACAGGAATTCTTCAAATCAAAGCTCTCTTCCAAACCAGAGACTGAGGAAACTCCAAAGGGAGGCCCAGAAGGCTAGCGACTTCGGACTCTCTCTGCAAGCTTGACTTAGTCATTACATCAATCCGCGGGTGCCTCAAGGACCCTGGGGTCTCCACACGGTCGGAGAGCATCCCACGCCTGCGCTCCCTCTGGGCACTCACCTACTGCTAGAAGGGGAGTCACACTCTGTGGTCCACACTTCCGCCGCAGAGAAACCTAGCACGCCTACCCGAGTGGCTAGCGCGCCTCGCAGTGTGGTCGTATCATAGGGTGCCCAGTGCACCCACTGAGGTGGCCGGACCTCTGGGTGTCTGAGCGTGCCTCTGAGGTGGCCGGATCGCCGGTGACCGGGTGGGTACCAAGGCATCTGCTGCGAGGAGCGGTCCCGGGCGGGTCCGCGCCGAGCTCGAGCGAGCGGGCGAGCGGGGCGGGAGGGGCCATTTGTAACCGAGCAGACGCTACCACCGCCCCTTACTCGCGGGGGGCGGGGGCGGGCGGTCAGGTGACGGCGGCCCACCCCGCGCCGCTGAGCCGGGTGGTTCCTGCCCGGGAGGAGCCCCCTGGCGCGCTCTGATTGGAACTCCCGCTGCAGTAGCGGGGGAAGGGGGACACGTGACCGCCCGGCTGGGCAGCCCGGCGCGCCCCACCCGCTATGGGCACCCCATCTTCCATCCTGGAAAAGCCGGGGAACACAGGGAAGGCGGGGGAGCACGCAGGGTGCAATCAGCCCCTTTAGCTGCAGTGCTGGGTGATCACCGCAGCTGAACCTGGGAAGGCTTTCTCACTCTACCAGCCGGCCTTCACTGTCCTCCTCCCTGCCCTTGGCAGTAGAACCCTCCCTTCTCGGCTGCAGCGTGCGCGCGCGCGCGCGCACACACACACACACACACACACACACACACACACACACACACACACACACACCACACACACAGAGGCACTGACACTCTGGGTAGACCACCGTCACTTCATAGTTAAGAGTGACCGCTCCCCTCCCTGCCTCTCCTTTTGAGCACCGGCTTAGGGTACGGAGAGCAGCTTAAGGCGATGCATTGCAGACGTGGCTCAGCTCAAAGGCTAGAAAGCCCCCCTCCCCCCGCCACGCACGACTGGACCACGCCCGGGGATGCCCGGTAACTCTCAGGTCTAGAAGGAGAGAAACTCTAGCTGACTCCCTCGGGGAAAAGGGAGCCGCAGTTGAAGGTCCACCCTCTCCCGAGAGGGCAGTGACCATCGGAGTGCAAGTCCAGTCCACAGCCTAGGGGAGCGAAGACCCAATAAAGATCAAATTAAAATATAAGGTAGTGGTGCCGCCAGGGACATGCCTCGTGGTCGTGGGAAGCCGGCTATTAACCACCCACAACCGGGCGTTGCTTTTCTCTTGAATTGTGAACGCCTTCAGAGTTTCGCGCTGTTCCAAGCTCCAGTTCCTCTGCAGAGAGCGAATTCCGCAGCCTCGCACTCCACCTCCCCATCCATGACCCCCTCCCTTGGTTGCACCATCCTAGATGGCAGAAATTCAGAGAAAATGCGGTGTCACGTCCGCCGCGATGCCCGCGGACGGGTCCCCCCAGCAGCACGTGGGGACCGTGAACCCCTAGTCTGCTCGTTGCTTGGGCCGTACTGTAGTTATACCTATGCGATTATTAGAAACAAATTGTCTCTCTCTGTACTAACTTCTTTCTAATTCTGTCCAAGGGAGTTTTGTACTGGATTTGGTCGTGGATGCGGTTTCCGGCCAAGGTGGCCACTGCAGAGTCCAAGGTACAGAAGGAGAAGAAGGCGGGACTCTGGCCCTTGGTCCTTTTGCGCCCCACTTCACTCCCGGGCTCCATCCGCGATGGTACACCCACCTTGACCCAGATGGCCTTTTCCCAATCCTTTCTTGATGTGTGAGTGTTTAGCTTCGCTGGGCACAGGACAAATGTCCAGCAGGTTTGTTCAGTAGGAAGTTTAACTGTATGTAAAGCTTTGGGCACCAACGCTAGACAGAACTTTGGAGGACGCTGAACAGCTAGCCATGGGAGAGAGAGAACGGTAAAAGGAAACGGGACTGTCAAATTGAGGAGAATCTTACTTTTAAGCGGACGCCTCTCTGCTCGTCTCCAAACTACACTACATAAAAGGGGGAGATAATCCATACACACACACACACACACACACACACACACACACACACACACACACACACACACCTCTACCTTTTAGTAAGAAAGCTGGGTCAGTTTTGTGTTCCCAGGTGTTAATTTTGATGTTAACCACCACTTTGAAATGGAAAGTTGGATATGGCCAGAAAGTCAGAAGACACGGGTCATAGGGTTTTCACAGTTTAACTTGCTCTCCCAACCGTCTCTCAGGGAAACTGGGAGAGTACCGGACACTTGTGGCATGGCCTGAAGAGATAATTTCTGGGAGTCTGGCATGGATTCACTTACGATATACAGAAGCCTAGACAAGCCTTGAATACCCCTTTAGAACCTCAAGGATGTGTTTTTTGAACTTGAACTGTAGACCCCCACCCTCCACCCACCCACCCCCACCCACCCCCACCCCCGCTCCCCGCTTCAATGTTTTATCTTGCACGTCTGGGAATGATTGTGCATTTAAACGCACACACCTACGTACGATGGGTCCCCCACAGCTGGAGGTGCATGGTGTCAGATCCCGGACTTTCACGTGTCCTGACCTTGGGGAGCATTCAGAGGGAGACAGCCTTGGTGTAGCTGACACCGGGCAAGGGAGACTCGCCTTGCTGAGAAGGGTGGAGGTGTTTGCGGCAGTGACTGGATGCTGGCAGGCCTCTGATTCTACCCCACTGGGGTCTGTCTACAGGGTCACACCCTGTTGAGAAAGCGCCAACAGCCCAGATGGAGGGAGTGACATTGAACCTGACAGGTCGCTGCAGAGCATTTGCCTTTAACGTCCTCCTACCGCTTGGTCCGAGGTCTGGGGAGCTGTGTCTTTGGAGTGACCACACCTTGTGTGGGCTGTGAGAAGCTGCTTTATGGTGGCGGGTGGGGCAGGTTAATAAAGTGCAGAATCTGTCCTGGTTTTTACTCTAAAAGGGAGCTGGTAGTATCGACAGGTTAATCTTGGAAAGCTAAGAAGAGGGCGTGGTGGTAGGGGGCAAATGGCAGCTTGGGGGTCCCGGGATAATATGTATTTCAGAGGCTTCCTGTCTGCGGGCATGCCCTAGAGCTGCGTTAAGTGTCACTATTTCCTTCCATAGGGCAGGCACTGTCCCCTCTCCCCTCCCTTCCTCCAAGTCCCTAAGGCCAGATCTCTGCACTGGCAAGAGTCTGGGCCTGCCATTTCCCCCGGTTCATTCTTAGAGCGGAACAAGACCTGCCAGGATCATAGGTGTGCCTGGCAGGCACCTAACTGCCCCTGTCGTCTCCACCGCACCCACTGCAGAGTTGCTGCGACAGTGGGACCGCTACCTTCTAATGCCTTCTGCCCCCTCCTTTTTGGCTGTTCACCTCTCGCCCCGCCCACCACCTTCCTTCCCCAGCGCGTTCCGCTGCACACCCACCAGGCACGCGTGGATGCCTAGGGCTGGGAGCAGCCTTTGCGGAGCGCCTACGACGGCGATCCGCAGCCGGGCCGGGGCTGCCCCAGCTCCGGGTGCACCCACGTGGAAACCGCCGGCTACCCCAGGGTCCCGGGCTCAGCTGAGGGCAGAGTTCCCGCGAAACCCCAAGGTGGTCCGCAGGTCAATGTCCATCTGTCTCCGCCCCACCACCCCTAGTCAGGATGTGAACGGAAGGTTTGGAAGCTCCAGTGTCCCCAGCTATCCCTGGACAAAGCCTCCCGCTTTCCGGCTTCCCACTCCGGAAATTCAAGGAGGCCCGGACCGCGGGAAAGGGACGCGTGTGGAGAGCGCCTTGAAGCGTCTGGCCAGGATGCGGGTGCCGGTCGTGTCCCAGCCTTGCCTAGCGCGGCTGCTCCCGCGCCTGCATCCGCGCCGAGGTGCTGCAGAGCGCAGGCCGGGCGGCGCCGGTGGCTGCACACCCACGTGCCGGGGTGAGCGCGCCCTTAGCCAGCCGCTGCTGCTCGGCTGGCGCCGGCTAGATCTCCGCAACGCCCCGCCCCACCCTCCCAGTGCTCTCAGCCTCCTTGGCGTCTCGGCCACAGCTTCCGAGACCCAGTGCCGCCTCTGAGAACCGCACTACCCGGCATGATTGCGGGCGGTTGCCAGGAAGCCGCACCTCCGCGCTAGGTCCGGTGCTTACCTGGTTCTGTGCATGGCCGGGTTCGGTCACTGCTCCCGGGGGTTCGTTCGCCGCCCACTGCCTCCTGAAAGGTGCACGGGAGGGCGTTCCCGAGGCTCCAGCACCTCCTGAAACGCTTCCCCAACTGACATTCTGCATGGTACCTTCTTAGCCTGTCACCTTCTTTGATAGGAGGGGATGCGTAGCCCTGGCGTTTTCTTTCTGGGCCATGCCTCTCGCTCACATCAACGCCCACTTCTACACACACCTGATCGCGGCTAGTCCAGGCCCCGAATCCTCCTCACCCATTCCTAGATCCAACACTCCGCAGTCGCTGACAGCAACGTGAGGGGGTGGCACTTAAGAGCGTGGTAGTGTCCCCAAATTTAAGAAACAGTCACCTATCCCTTGTCTTTGTGTGTTTCAAGGCGTGTAGCATGTTTAAGAACACATACAATCCGGAAGCACTCACACAGTTGGAAAATCAGACCAGAGTATCTTGAGAGAAGTGTAGATTCACATGCATTTCTAAGAAAGAACTCAGGCTTTGTTGGTGCTGATTTGTTTCTGAAACAGGGTCTCCTCTCGCCCTGGCTAGCCTCAAATTTAGCAGGTAGTCTAGGATGATGTTGAACTTCTGGTCCACCTGAGAGCTGGGATTACAGGCTTGCACCACCACTCCTACTTATGTGGTGCCAGTAATCAAACCCAGGGCTTCCTAGAGGTGAGGCAAGAGCTCTGTTAACTGAACTGCAGGTCCCAGGCCCCTCGATGAAACTACAAACAATGCTGTATATTAGTGGATATTGGTACAGCATGAATGGAATCCCTCCTTCCGTCCCTTTCTCCCCAATCTCCAATTATTCCTGTTCCCCCCCACACAAATGAAATTTTGGGTAGTCACCACCACTGCCGACTCACCAAAGTCTCCCTGTCCCCGAGGATGACAGGTGACCCCTGACAACCCTGTATTTTCCACCCCTCCCAAGTTTTGTCCTTTCAAGACTGTTGAATAAATGGAATTACACAGTCATGTGGTCTGTTTCTTTGTTCTTTCTTAAAACAACAACAAAAACCTCAATGTTATTTCCCCGAATTCCATCCTACTTGTCAATAGTTGGTCATTGGATTGAATTCATGATGGGCGGGGTCAGTCCTTTAACTGTCACGTGGAGTGCTCCTTCAAGGAGTTTCTGTATGTTGGCTATTATGAATAAAGACGTTATGAGCATCTGTGTGCAGGTTTATGGGTTTCTTGGGGAAGAATGACCATGAGAATGATTGCTGGGCTCTGTTGGCACAAGCTTACTTCTATAAGACATTTCAGATGTCCACAGCAGCAGTTTGTGGTGACTCAGGTTTTCCTCACTGTTACCGGCACTTAGTACTATGGGTATTTTGTATTTTAGCCATTCTGACAGATGTAGTAGTATTTCAAGGAAAATGTACATTTCCCTGGGGGCTAGTGGTAGTGAACATCTTTTTTTTAATTACTGGTTTAATTTTGCTGTACATTTTTTAAAAAATAAAATATCTGTTCAATTCTTTTGTCCACATCCCACTTGGAGAATCTTGTTTATCTGTTCATTGGTTTTGTTTCAGCTCTTAGGGTTGAACCCAGTGCCTCATTCATGCCCGGCAAGCAGTCCTTAACGAGTTCTTTGTGTGTCCTAGAACAGGTCCTGTGTGAGATGTTTACAAATGTTTTGTCTGAGTCCGGGGCTTGTCTGTTAATCCTCTTTTTGGGCATTTGAAAAACAAAAATTTCCAGACCTGATGAGGTAGATGCAGCTTAACAATCTTTCATTTTGGTATCAAGCTTGAGAATTCTTGTCTAACCCTAAATCTTGACAATTTCCCCCAATTTTGAGAGTAAACTTGTTTATTTAGTGTGTGTGTGTGTGTGTGTGTGTGTGTGTGTGTGTGTGTGTGTGTGCGTGTGTTACAGTAACAACAATAAAAGCCCAGGTGGTGTATTTACATGGGTCTTTCTCTGTTCTGCATTCTGTTCCATCAGTCTATGTGTCTACCTACCTTTCCCCAATGCCATGCTGTCTCTCAGCTGAGTTGTGAGTGGTTATACCAGGGAAATTATTCCTCTCACTTAATTATTCTTTTCTTAAGGATTGCTTTAGCCATTCCCTATACATTACAAGCTTTTCTAAATCTATTTAAAAATTTTGTTAGGATTTTGTTAGAAATTGCATCATCACCTGTAGATCAGGGAAAGAGGTTTGTTTTTTTTAACATTCGAATATATTATACCTCTTAAGTTATTTATGTCTTCATTTATTGGTAATTGACATTTTAGAATTGGCTTAGATTTATGCCTAAGGATATCTCTCTCTCTCTCTGTATCTGTAAATATTATTTCATTAAAAAATTAGTTTCCATATGATCATTGTATAGAAACACAATTAAAATGTGCCTGTTTAGGCTGGAGAAATGGTTCAGTTGTTATAAGTGCCTACTGCTCTTCCAGAGGACTGGAGCTGAGTTCCCAGCACTCAGATCTGGGCAGCTCACAAGCACCCAGGACTCCAGCTTCAGGGGATCTTACATGCTCTCTGGCCTTGTTGGTGCTGTATGCAGGTTCCTATATCCCCACAGACACACAATTTAAAAAAATAAATCTTAAGAAAATTTACGAGTTGACCTTAAGCCTTGTGATCATGTAGACCTTACTTATCACGTTTCCTATAGAGGCAATCATGTTGTATCTGAAAATAAGGAGCATTTTATTTTTTCCTTTCTATCTGCATGCCTTTCTGCCCCTTGTCTTATTTCAGTGGCTACAACTTCTAGCTCTTTGCTTGGCAAGAATGCTGACATAAATGACTTGTCTCATTCCTGATCCTCTGGGGAAAATTATTCACCTTGAAGAATTCTAGCTCAAGAGTTTGTAGATATTTTTTATCCTTTTCATGATTTTACGATATGACACACTGTTATTATTGGTTGATTCTCAAATATGGAATCAAACTAATTCATCTATGTGTATCCCAATTGGCCAAAACATATATTAATAATAGTTCTTATACATATTTAGGTTCATCTAAGTTCGTGATATTGACATGAATGTTACTCCTTTTTTTCTTTGTTTACAGCCTGGTTTTATGATTAGAGCCTCATAAATTAATTAGGAAGTATCCTATCTTCTTCTGTTTGGCGGATTACATTATGTAAACTTATTGTTAGCTCTTTAAATTTTGGTAGAATTCTATTCTAAAACCATTTGGCCATGGGAATTTTTAAAATAAATTTTTAGGTAAAATTTCCTTTAATGGTTGTAGGACTATGATATATTTAATGTTGGTTGAATTTGGCTAGTTTTTAGTTTGAGGAAAATTAAGTTACTTTCTAAGTTTTAAAATTTCTTCTGGGACTGGAGAGATGTCTCAGTATTTGAGAGCACTTGCTGCTCTTCTAGAGAACCAGGGTTCAGTTCCCAGCACTTGCATGGAGATGGACAACCAGCTATAACTCCAGTTCTAGGGGATTCTCAGTGCCTCTGGCATCTTTGGGCACCTGGACTCTCTGCATATACCCACATACACACAGACATCTTAAAATCTTTAAAAAAAAATCTTAAAAAACAAAAATTATAATTTCTTTTAATGAGTGGAGCATGGAGTTTGTAGCAGCACCTCTTGCCTGTTAATAATGTAGGAATGTGTGACATCACTGGTTTCACTCCTGACATTGGTGACTTGTGTTTTTCCTCTTTCAGTCAGTCCTGCTAGGGATGTATCAGTTTTATTGATTTCATTAAAGGACCAACTTTTCATTTCACATTTTTTGTTGTGTTCTTATTTTCAATTTAGTTTTCTTTTTATGCATGTCTGTGCACTTGTATGTGTAGGTGCATGTGAACATAATATTTGTGTGTGTGTGGAGCTAAGAGAACAGTGTCTGATGTCATCTTTCAGAATGCCAACCATTTCCTTTGAGACTCCCTGACCTGGAGCTCACCAAGTAGGTTGTTTGGCCAGTGAGATCCAGGATACTGTTGTCTCTGCCTGTGTTGTCATGCTCAGCACACCAGAGTATGATTACAATGTGTATAGTCATGCCCAGCACAGCAGAGTGTGATTACAATGTGTCGTCATGCCCAGCACAGCAGAGCTGGGGTTCCAGCATGTGTCGTCATGCTCAGTACACCAGAGTGTGATTACAATATGTATAGTCATGCCCAGCACAGCAGAGCTGGGGTTCCAGCATGTGTTGTCATGCTCAGCACATTAAGTGAATTCTGAGGACTTAATCTTCAGAGGCCTTGCACTTGAAAGCAAGTGCTTTGCTGGCTGAAACATTCCCTAAGTTTCTTACTTTAAATTTTATTATTTTCCTCCTTATTTTTTGCTCTGTCTGTTGCTTTGAGTTCACTTGGCTGTCATTTTCTAGCCTCTTGAGGGAAGAGTCTGCATTGTTGGCTTGTGAATTCTTCCTTCTGCTGTAATCAACTAAAGCTGTAAATTTCCCTTCTGGCACAGCTTTAACTGTGTCTTGATATTTTTGATAGGTATTTTCATTACCATTCAGCTTTAATACATTTAAATTTCCTTCTCAGACTTCCTCTTTGACCAACAGTTTATTTATAAGTGTGTTGTTTAAATTCCAAGTGTTTGAAGATTTTTTTCCCTATCACTTTTGCTATTGATTTTTAGTTTGACTATATTGTAGTCAGAAAATTCAGTTTACAAAATTCAATTATTTTAAGTTTCTAGAGGTTTTTCCTATGAGGCAAGATAGGTTCTTTGGCTCTTGAGAGAAATACACACACACACACACACACACACACACACACACACACACACACACACACACCACTGTTGTTGAATGAAGAGTGTTCCACATGTTGGTTACTTCCTCTGGATTGACACATTTTCTCCTGGGCACTCCCAAGAAAGTAACAAGACTCATGGTGCAGCCCTCACCAGCACCACCACCAAGATTATACACACAAGTGAAAAATTGCTGCGGAAGAGGAGACCCTTCCATGGCACTTCCCTGCCAGCTGCACTGGGAACTCCGATGGTGCATGAGTTACAACTCATGCTGAATAGTTCCTCGCTCAGCTCCACTACCCCAGTACCCCTTGGCTTACGAGGCTAGACTTGAGTAGAATCACTTCTTGGGTTCATTGTTGGTGCTCTATGTGGGTGAATAAACATTTGTTCATGTGACAGGAGAAGTCATGCAACCTGCTGTCACACAGGAACCGACAGAACTGAAGATGAGTCTAGGAGAAACTGAATGAGCCTTATTGTGGGTGACAATCTTGCAATTGTGACTGACCTGTCTGAGGGTGGAGTGTTTGCAGGGCAATACCAACATGGCTACTGTCCCTGTGTGCTTTCTTTCTGCAGTGGTAGTTATTTATTCCCTGCTGTGGGTGGTAAGACATGCATTCAAGGCTAAGCTGCCTGAGGATCAAGTGTGCTGAAGGGAAACCCCAGGGTAGGCATCTTCTGCTTGGTACGGATTGGTGTGCTTCCTAACTCAATGAGATCTGTTATGTGAGTGCCCCCAAATGGCTGATGACTGGGGGAAACAGTGTGAACCCTGCAAGCAGAATGCATGCCATGGGGTCATAAGCAGGCTATGGCAGCAGTTGCAGACATTGGTGATTTTCCTCCACACCAGCCTCCGATTTGGCAAGGAGAGTGGAATAACAGGAAGGTGAGATAGAATTGTTGGCTGCTATTTCTAATAGCCTGGGAGCAGGCATAAATTATACCTGGACTAAAGAGCCCAGAGGGAAAAGGTCCATTACCATTATGGCTGGGAAGTGTGGCGGGAGGCAGGCATGGCATCAGGAACAGCTGAGAGCTCAGATCTTCCACCACCACCCTCCGCCCCAAGACAGGGTTTCTCTGTTTGGCCCTGGTTGTCCTGGAACTCACTCTGTAGACCAGGCTAGCCTCGAACTCAGGGATCCACTTGCCTCTGCCTCTCAAGTGCTAGAATTAAAGGCCTGTGCCACTACCAGCTGGCTTGAGAGCTCACATCTTAAACTGCAAACAGGAAGCAGAGAGAGTGAACTGGGAATGACATGTAGAATTTGAAACTTCAAAGCCCATCCTCAGTGACAAACTTCCTCAGTGACAAGCTTCCTCCAGCAAGGCCCTACCCCCTAA